TCAAAATGGGGGGTTTGTTTTTAGAGCAGATGCATCTGCTTAAAAGAACACCGCCCCACCCTGTGATGTAATATACGATCAGTCCCTAAAGTGTGTCAATAAAGGTGGGCCGTGGACTTCCTCGACTCGCCACAAGCAGTTTGACTGTCGATTACAACATCGTCAGTCCTCTATTGACTATTCTATGGACACTTAGTTAGATTACTACAGTAAACCTGAGTATTGGTTCCAGTGAAAATCGACCATTTTGAATAACTGTACGTTTGACCTTAGAAAGCGAATAGTGAACATGTTATCCTTTTTTTATTAATTAGTAATACTTCTATTAGATAAATCGAAAACAATCCGCGTGGCAAGCTAACTGATCTTTTATGAGTAACCGACGGCTTTGCGATATTCTGTCAGTTGTATGGTACAAGCGAGTGCATAGTCAACTTAGTGGTCAGTTGTTTTCAGTGGTTCTTTCTTGCTGCACTACCTTTTGACAATCATATTACTTAATGATAAATTAGAAACCGAATGGTAAACCTGTTATCATCTCTTTTAATTAATACTAGCGATTAGATCACAATGGCATGTTATTAGTAAATGATTTTTTGTGAGTGAACTTGTTAGAGACAGCCTGTCAGTTGTATGGCACAACCGAGTGAAATGTGCTATTGTTTTGAGTATTCTTGCTGTCTACCTTTCGACATCATATCGCACTTAATAGACTAATTACCTGAATTACTTTGTCCCCAACTCATCTCCAAACAAACCATGGTGTACACTATCAGTGCCAGTGTTTTCAAACTCTCCATGTTCTAATGTGATTTCTGATAATTAGCAGCTTCGTCGATAATTACCGGAAAAAAGTTCTGAATGCGAAACAACTTTATGCTGAGACAGTTTGATGTAAATTAATCTTTTTCGTTTCGTACCTCGTCTCGAGTAGGAAATGAAACAAACTGTCAATCGYATACCGTTTTCTTTACTGGATTATTAAAAACGTGAGCAGATCTAGTCGTGGTTTCATGACAAAAAATAATTCGCATTTATAGTTACTAAACCTACTGGATTATTATGAATCATTTCCTTTTTATTCATTTACAACAACTTTTGTATTCTACCTTTCAGGACTCGTTCCTAGACCTCTGATCAGCTTTTAACGTAAACATGCCATGTATTGACCAATTAGAGCGAACATTCAATATTCACTGTCATCTTATATATCTACATCAGTCATAATTAACAATCAAAGCTTATTCTGAAGRACCAAAACGAAATACTAGGAAAATTCCAAACATAACATTTTGTATTTACATTTCAGAATTCAGAAAGAATTTATTTAAGTCCCTGCTTAAAAAAGGTGATCGAAACGAAACGTTTAAGAAAAATTGTTTGAGTTTTTCCCTACTTATCCGTGTCAACGAACAATTATTGAAAGCAAGCATACGAAACATGGATTGTTTGAAAACACTAGTATTGGTGCTACATACCATGGTTAGTTTGGAGATGATTTGGGGACAAGGTATTTCAGGTAATTACTTCATGAAATAGTGGGACTGATGAACTTGCATTTGCGTAGGAATATTATCTTAAGGGAGTGCCCACCAGCTGCGTCATCTGGTTGGATATTGATGCGGAAGTACTTAATTCCAAGAAATTTCAGTTCTAAATATTTGCCTTCCTATGTTCCTTTTTTGAAAGAAAATCTCATTCATGCATGTAATTATTTTTAACATTTTCACTAAGAGAGCTAGATCAGGCCATTCCTATGCTCGAGCAAGACCTTCTTAGAGCAGCCCGATGGCTYTGTGTTAACCATCTATTGATTAACCCCGAAAAGACCAAATTTATGTTACTGGGAACCAGACAAATGCTTGGCAGACTACCAGAAGACCCCCGCTTATACTTTTTGGGAAAGGAACTGAAGACTTCAGAATCAGCCAAGGATCTGGGAGTTCTACTCGACCCCCATCTGACCTATGATCACCATATCACAAACACATGTACAGAGTGTCATCTTGCCTTTCTAAGCTTTGCCAAATAAACAGAGTCAGGAAAAGTTTTGACAAAGGAACACTAGAGCTGCTGATAAAATCCTTAGTCTTCAGYAAAATGCTGTACTGCTCCTCTGTTTGGTCAAACACCACATCGAAAAATGTTAACAGACTCCAATCGATCCGAAACTTTGCCTGTAAGATTATCACAAATTCTAGGAAATTTGACCATGTGAAACCACTACTCCGCGACTTGAACTGGCTGCCTGTCCGAGAACAATTACAATATAGAGACTCAATTATGGCATACAAGTGCATGAACGACCTGGCACCTAAATACTTGACAGCCAAATTTCACAAACGCTCTACTATCCACACCCGACACAAGCGGAACATTGATAATCTACAGATACCACTATTCAAATCTGCCGCAGGCCAAAGAACTTTCGCATACAGAGGCACAAAAATCTGGAGTAATCTAAGCTCTGCATTAAAACAAGAAYCCAACATCAAACATTTTAAAGGACACCTTAAAACCAATTTTTTAAAAGATTTTCAAGAGTCCCTGTTGTAAATAAT